AAAAGCATTCCAAGTGATCTGCTGGAATTAACTTCCTAACACTAGTTAATTTGTTTTTATCCCCATTTTCCTTTAGCACTTCACTTCCTTATTAAACAGCTGCCATGAAATAGCACTCTGGGCTGGGAAGATGACCAGAAAATGTCTCTAGAGAATGTTATATCAAAGACGCTTCCTGCCCAGCTGAGAAGCTGCCCATCTATGAACAAGTTACCTCCCATTTTTGCTCACTACAAATATCATCCTAATGCAAGTCCTCAGGCAGTCTAATTATTTTAAAACATTTGTCTTCATTTGAAAACTACTTCAGTGAACCGATTACATGACAAGATAAGTCCTCTGAAATACAGAGCTAGCATTTAGTATTAACACCCGAGTCTCACCAATACTCCAATCTTGCAATTGCCTTCCAGTTACTAGCATCTTTATTCTAGATCCATCAAGCACCACACAAGTACTGAAATTTGTCAAGTTCTTTTCTTAATAGTCAAAATCAATTGCTCAAAATGCTTGAAACAGGCAGACTCTCAAAAGAGATCCTGTACCTGAGTCAGTGATATTTGAAAATGCCAGTGCAGGAAACTAGAAGACTAAAACACTGGCACCTGATATTCAGGTGGCACTGAGCCAGGGCCTCAGTGACAACATCCACCACAAAGCTTTACTCAACTGCTTGAAATTGTTTTACAAGGCCAATTCTTAGATAAACCACACTGTAAAGTTTCTAGAGAAGCACGCCAGATATACTCAACTTGTGCCTAGCTCAGGCCACTATTTACAAGGTGTGTGATCTACATTAAATTCACAGATAGCTGCAGTAAGTTTACCACATTTATTTAGTCAAGGAGAATGATTTTTCACACATCATAAAGAAAGAAATGGATCAGCTAATATTAGCTGCTTCCAGTCAAGAATCACAAATCACTTCAGTAACTTTAATTAATGCTCTCTGCACTCTAATGTAGTGGGCAAATTTTGTTACCTGCAGGCTGAAGATTGAAGTACAGAGAGATTAAGTAATATGCCCACAAACCACACAGTATATCTGAGATGTTCTAACTCCCAGTACTGAATTTGAAACACTCGTTTTCTTCACATTATTGCATGTAGGAGAGCAAGTGGAAAACTGCTTCCAGCACTATTATTGACCACAGCCACTGGTCTCTCTCTTTTACAAAACCCTTTTCTAGGGAGTAGAAGAGTGGTTCCAAACTGTTTCAGACTTGAGATCCCCCTGACAGAGTTGAGACACCCCTGGAAAAATGACATTTTCACTTTTCTTTTTTCCTAAGAAAAATACTAGAGCAATTCTTCTGTTGCAATGAACTCAGAAAGACCACAAACAGGGCAGAATGGTTTTAACACTGTAAATTGCTATTTGAAATCTCTGGGATAATCCTGTGAATCATGTTTGGACACCTAACAGTGCTAACTTTAGGTGGCACCCTTGAAAGGATCTCAAGGCAACCCAGGGTGCAGTAGGACCCTAGCTGAGAATCACCCGAGTAGAATGAGAATAATAGTGGCAGGATGAGTTCCACTTTGGACCTACCACCACCTCTGAAAGGAACTGTGGAAAAGTCTGCAGTATAACCCACTCCTTGTAAAATCTGCCAGAAAGTGGATCAGAACCTCATACCTTGCAAATTCAAGAGAGCACATGTTTCAAGCAAGTCAGGGATAGCTTGAAGGCATGCAATCTTAGTCACACTTTAGTAAGTTCATAGCAACAACTGTCAGAAGCCATGAAAAAAAAATTAAGGCTCTTAAGAACTCTACAAGTCACTGTGACCTGCATGCTTGTTACTACATCAGTATCCATCATGCTTTATCCCCACATACAGTATTTGTGGGTTCACTGGTTAGTTTCAGCATTCTCCAGCCTGCCTGAAAAACCCTCCATGTTTTTATCTAGACTCTAAGCAAATCCACCTCTCCAGGCTCTTGACTGCATATTTTGAGCCTTGTCTCCTCTGGGTGAATACCATTATGAAGTCGTATTTCAAATTTTAATTTCTGCACAATCATTTCAGTTTGCTATATCAGTAGGAAGTAAATGATGCTGCATGATGTGCTGGTTTAGAAACATTTCTATCACACTCCTTATGCTCAACAAAAGCCAATCATGTTGGAAGAAATACTTTATAGTTGGCTCCTTTAATTGTTATGGGATCTTTCACTGAAATGTTCTCTCGAATTATATCATATTATGCTCAATGCTGTGACATAATGAGAGTAATTCTTCCTACGCAGCTTGGTAAAATTGATCCTTGTGCTCAAATTTAGGAAATCTAATCTTTAATAAGCAGATTTCTTCAGCCTTCTTGCTACTTCCTTTGTTTCTTTTCGGCCTTTCCAAGAGAAGCACATGTCAATTGTATGCTAGAGGCACATACTTTTTTCCTTTCTAATATCAATCTCATCTTCCTAATGCATGTAGACTTAGTGCTAAGTTGACATACATTCTCATCATATTCATCACCCTCTTTCAACATTTAAGGATTTAGTAGAAACTTGTACAGTAACTTAGATTCTACATGCCAGGCTGGCTTACTTTGCGAGTCTAGGAATGCCAAGTTAACTTTTCACACCAGAACTTGAGATAATCTCCAAGACTGATAAAATGCCATGCTCCTGAGGGCAGAGATGAGGTTTACTCTGGAATCAATGCCATCTTTTAAACTCACATTTTGCCAGTGTTTGATCCCTGCAGAGGTGTTGTATTGTTTTCAAAACAGAGGAAAAAGGTAAACTGCTTTTGGCCAATGTTTCCCATGAATTAATGAGCAAGGGCTAATCATACTTGTTTACAAGATAACCATTACCTAAAGCATGTGATATGCTATAAATACCTTTTAAACCTTGACGTCTGAATTGCACATAGCCAAAAGAACTCTTGAAAATGTGAAACACTAACCTGGTCTGTATTCTGTACTAGGACTGATACTTCCAACCATGGTTTGCATTACAAAGATTAAACTTAAACAGACAAATCAAAACTGTATCATTCACTAGACTACCCATTTTTTATGGAGAAGAGCCACTTAGATTGCAAGGGCTACTTATTTTCTGAGCTGGAAAATTCCATTTTGCAATATTTTATTTAACTTCTATTACTAATGCTAGCATACTTAATCTGAGTTTCAGGAACATTGTAAATATATTTCTAAGTTGCCTAGACCCTGGGATATAAATTAAAAAAAAACAAATTAAAAAAACCCACTCCCCTAACCCAAGGTATTTCCTGAGCTGTTCTGCTTCAGACTGTGTCCACTAAGGTCACTTAATGCAAATATATGTAGAAGTGTGCAAGACTACAATAAAAAATAGGACTAGTCCCAAAGGATTTCAATTTGTTCTTTTTAAAGGGTGTAAAAAAAATCGACAAATATAAAACAACAAGCAGCTAAATACAGGTGACATCTAAGCTCGTTTCCTAAATGTTTCTTGTGTCACTTCTACGTTGAAAAAAATAAGGCTTTGATTGTAATATGTGGATATAGGGACCCCTAAATCTGTGTGGATTTTATTACTGAGTTGGAGTCAATTTTGTAACAGGTCTTGCTTACAAATACTCCTAATGCCTCTGCCATTTCTCAGATAATAGCCATATTTTCCTATTTGCAGAAGTGCTTTTGTTTCCTTAGCTTTATTTTGTAAGACCAGGAAAAATGTCTGACTGAGCAAAGGATGCAGTGCAGATGACTACATATAAAGTGTGAAACACACCAACTGAAAAAATAGAAAGAATAGTCTCAGAGTAAACTTGAGTAATTTTAACTGAGTTGGCTAAGAAATGCAGACGTGAGCAATTTTTCAACTGGCAGTATCTCTTTAAATGTCTCACTGAAAGAGCACTGTATCACACATGTAACTCTTTAAACTGTATCTGAACTTTAAGACTAAAAATGCATCTTCCACAGGTCTTAATTAGCCCACTGAAAGTAGATGGTATTGATACTAGGGTTATAATATTCATCCATAATCTCCAAACCAACAAAGGGAAAGACCAGAAATAAAGATACGGTTTACCCATGTTAACTTTGCTAGTTCAGGCAATCAGAGCCCCTCATCCTGTAGATATTCTGACATAAGTTATAGTGTGCACATCCTCCATTAGTGTAAATTATTACAGTACACCAGCTAAGGATCTAGCCTGTGAACAAGAGGACTAATTCTGTACATACGTTTTGAAGGATCAGACCTCAAGACAAGCAATGCAGCCAGACTGTATTGTATGAATGATGCAGGCTGCATTTACCATACAGTCTGTATTGACAAAATGCACATATCCCCATATCTTAAAAACAGGTATGTGTATAACTGGCTTTGAGCCCTACCTATTCCACAATGCAGACACTATCAGCTGGCTCATTTCTTACAGACATCATGACAGAGGTGCATTTGGAGAAGAGATTTGAGAGGGGAGGGTAGCAACTTTATAGATAAGTTCAAAGAGGACATTGCAAGCAGGAGGAGCAGCAGCAGCAGGGAGGGAAACATGAAAAGGTCTGCACGACAAGCTAATGAAGGCCTGATGAGGCTGGCAGAGCAAAGAGGCAATGAGAGAAAAAGCTAAAGCAACAACTTGGGAGCAGCACGGTCACGAGGGGTCAAACTCCTTCACTCCCTCTCACAAAGGCACCGTTTTGAAAAAGCAGGCAAAGTTACGATGTTTGAAGAGAACAACACTAAAGCTTTTATTATTTACAAAACAAAACAACAGAAGTCTGTCTATTTTGTGTTTTCATTTACTCCTTAAAGCGTTTCATCGATTCATACATCGTAAGGCTGGCAAGGGCCTCGGGAGAGCATCGGGTCCAGCCCCCGGCGCCAAGCAGGAAAGATAACTGGGGGTCAAGACCGCGTTAAGACTCATCCCATAATAAAGGCGACTCCAGCTTTGCTGCACAACTTCCCTGGCAGCAATTGATGCTTATGCGTCTCAGGGGAAATAATAATGATAATTAAAAAAAACAGAACAAAACAAGAAAACCCACGAGAAGCGATACTGGCTGAGACACGGGGGTGGAAGGCAGGGTCGATCCACCCGGGCTCAGGACCACCCGATCCTTTGAACGGTGTGGCGTGGGGAGGAAAGCCGGACTCTCAACCAGGGGGTTGCCGCACCCCGGGGTGCCACCCGGTCCTTCGAAGGGCGAGGAGAAAAGCAGACCGGCCCCGTTCTCAACCAGGGAAGAGTGCGCTCCTGCAGCCTGACTGCAGGCGTTTGCACCCGAACGCTCGGGGATATCGGATCCACCCAAAGATCCTCGTCAGGCTCGCGTCTGCCGGCGGCCCCCAATCTTCGAAGGCCGAGGCGTGAGGAGAAGAGCGGGCATGTCAAGCTCAAGGCTCACCACCCCCCCCGGGACGCAGCGAGCCAGTCGCCGCATGTGTCCAAGCACTAATTTCCCAGCGGCTGCTCTTTGGGGGCGAGAGTGACTTAGTAATGGGGGGAAACAGGGGGGGAGGTAGATTTATTGCCCGGGTCACCCGTGTG